TATGTAACTAAAAATCTTGTTAGCTTTTGGTTGAAAACTAACAAGATAGTTACAATCATAGTTGCATTGTGGCTTATTATATAATATATATATATATATATATATATATAAATGGGCCCAAATGAGGCAGGTAATTAATGGTGTTAAATTGTCCAATAATATAAATTTTAAAGGTACAACCATAAAAGAAGAATGTACAACACTATCAAAGCACGTATCATCCAACACTTATCATGTACTAAGTAGTAGATATTCCCACTTATTATATATATATATAAAAGCAAATAAATAAGTAAGTAATTAAAGATGTAATACGTCTCTGCCAAAGAAAAGGCGGCATACACGTGGTTAGGCAAGAAAATAAAAGAAATAAAATGGGTCCACTTTGTTTGTCCTTTTGTTTGTCCCCTTATATATAAGGGTAAAAAAAAAAATGCTTTTGATATTATAGTACAACTTGAACTGCTTTTGGTATCAGTTCTTAAAGCTGTGTTAGTCCCAACCCTATAGTACAACTTGAACTGCTTTTGGTATCACTTCTTAAAGTTGTGTTAGTCCCAACCCAAGTCTCACTTCTAAATAAGAGTAATATATCTCTTTTAGGGAGGACGAACACAACTTTATAAGGTTGTACAGAACGGAACAAATATTGTACCGTAAATTTGGAAAGATCAAGGCTACTTTTGGAATTCCAAAATTATGTGTGTGTCTTTTAACGTCCCCACGTGTCCCATTTTCTTCATTTGTGTTACATAGGAGTGACAAACAAGCGAATCGAGTCGAGTCGAATATGAGTCGATCAAAAAATGAGTTAAATAAAAATGGATAAGTTACTCAACTCGACTCACATTTTAAAGGGGTAAAAACGAGTTACACAATGGATAATATGGATATCCATATTTACCCATATTATAATAGAAATCTTGTTAAAAGCTTTAAAACAAAAAAAAAATTAAAGTTTTTTTTATCACTTCACTCCACCACCTACCAGTCCCCCTACCCCCTATCCCAAAAAAATGTTTAAAAAAAATAAAAATATTACCACCCCACCCCTACCATCCC